CACACCACACACAGGCCAGTGGCTAGAGCCATGGGAAGGAACAAAACCAGAAAGGGATGAGCCCACTGTGTCTCAATACCTGTTACCGTGAAAACACAATGATTTCCTTTATATTTTTGCAAGGGGTGAGTCATGCAGGTCAGCGCTGGCTTGGCACATCAACGTATTGTTCCTGCCAAGGGAGGATGGTTAAGATGGGAAGGTTGATTTATTTGAGTACATATGTGTCAACTTAATCCTGGAAAAAGGAAAAAAGAGTGCAGAAGCGATGCTTTGCTGGCATGAGCTATTATCAGAAAGGGCTCTTTCTTGGCCTCAAAGACCAAAAGCCGTGGGGTTAGATGTTGATGGAGTCTTGACATTGAAGGAGCATGCGTAGACGGTGTGATGGGCCTAGGGCCCTGGGAGAGGACAGTCCTTTCCCAAGGGCATGAGCAATGTCGAGAGGCTACTGTATGTGGGGTGGTGGTTGAGACCTCAGTCATGAGGAGCCAAGTCACGTGAAGAGTCTGGGTGAGAGGGGCCAGCCCGTGCTAAGGTTTGAGGAACAGTAAGAAGGTCAGTGTGGCCAAAGTCACAGCAAGTGACGGGGTAGACAGGGTGACTGTACTCTGTCCATGCTGCCCATTTAGGGTCCTGATGGTCTGATATTCTTAGGCACTTAATATATTTAGTCTCATCTTTCTATCAACCCATGTATTCATTGATCCCCCAAACATTTGTTACACCAGGCAACACATGGGACTGAATCTTGAAGGAAGAGTTAGCCACGCCAAGGGGAAGACTTGAACTCTAGGCACCGGAGGGTGGGCCTGTTGGGAAGGGCCTCGAACACCAGGCCTCCATCCCAGTGACCACTCCACCATGTTGAGAAGCCACATGAGCTACTGGCAGAATGCCAGGAAATACTGATATGTGAAAAAAAATGAATGAAACCCATGTTTCTGGACCAATCAGATGCAGCCTGCTAGTACAATAGAGCCAAGTGGTAGCAGCGACCAAAGGCTTAAGAAAAGTGAGGGAAGTAACACCGAAAGTGGAGACTATCCCATCAATTAACTTAATTTTTTTTTTCTGCCAACCATGAAAAGACCGTCATTAGTTACTATTAGTGAGGGCCTGGCTTAGAGAGCACCTGTTTTCTGCTGAGCATCGCTGGTGTGGGCCGGAGGGAGCTGTTCCAGGGCCTCAATCAAGCAGTGACATGATGAGGTTTGCGCTTTGGAAAGGTCACCGCGGCCGCAGTGTGCAGGGTAGACGGAGGGGAAGGGAGGCCGGCTGTAAGAACCGGCGTGCGGGCGGAGTCGGTGCACACAGCAAATTCCTTGACGGCAAGGGTATTTCTGTTTCACCCTTTTAGCGACGCCTGGCAAGGGCTAGATACAACCACTGCTAGGTCTGTGGACATGCCCACTGAACTGAGTTGTCTGGTATAAAAACCTGGCAAAATGGGGTCTGGACAAACCAGAACTATGGCCTCTAGCCGGATTTATTCTGCTCGGGAGAGGCGTCGTGGCTGAAGACCGAGCCAGGGGGAGTTCTCTGAGGTTAGAAACACTCAAGGTTTCGAGGAGCTATTTGGGGAGACAAAACATAAAGTTCCTGGTTCCTACATCTGGCCGGCATCTGCCTGTTAGGTCAGATCTGTGCGAATACGATATTTATCAGGCTTTTGCTGTTCATCTTGATTAAAAAAAAAAAAATGACCATCTGCCTTTCAGTGGGCGCTAAAAAGGTCAGAGTTAAAAGGTTTCCATGTGAGACTGTTGAAATAGTCTCAAACATGAGAGTACATTGTAGACACATCTGGATTCCCAAACCGCAGAACAGGAATCTTGAAAATGTGCTTGGAGGGTGCCCAGTCCCCACCACCGTGCCCTGCTCTCTGGAACGCTGCTTTCCAGGGAGAGCCGAGCCGACGGGAGCCGAGCCTTCTGTGTGTCAGCAAGGCGGCTGCTGTACGAACCCACGTTGCCCGTTTGTGGAGCACTGGCTCGATGCCGGGGCCACGCGAGGGCTTCACCAGCCTCGTCGCCCTGCGCTTCTGCGCCGAAGAGGGCGAGTCTCACGCTGCTGACCCCATGCTGTCCAACCACGAACTTGTCAGCGCTTGAATTGAAACCCTGGCCCTGCCGTCGTCTGGCTTCGGCCGGGAAATTCCACATTTACGGTTCCCTTCCACACTGAAGATGACAGGAACACAATAAAACACTTGTCTCCAAAAGTGACTTCTTGGATCCATTGGCAAAATGTTAGAAAGTGGGGATGAACGGAGCCCAAGAAACAGGACACCCAGGCTCTTTGAGCTCGGGGAGTAGAATAGAATCCTCTCCCAGGCCAAGAATGAGTCACAATGAAAGCTTTTAAAATATAAAACCATCAACCCAGATTTCAATTCCAAGGAAACACATACTTGGCCATGAGGGAATGCTTAAAAAAAAAAAAAAATCAGGCTTAAGCCACTTGACAGGAAAATTAAACAGCCAAGGAACATTCAAATATAATGATTTACATCCTCCGCCCCCCCCTTCCAATATGGGTCAGGGCTTACATGGACACAATCTCGGCCAGTGTGCGTGTCCCCTGTGCACCCCCCCCCCCCGGCCCTCCTCTTTTCACTTAACACTGTTTCATGCACACAATCCCAGGCCTGGCTGCGGCTGGCTCAGAGCTGCACACGTTGCCTTTGCCAATCTCCTGGATTCTTCATGATCCCTCGGCTGTTGGGCTCCTGGGCTGCTTGAGGTGGCTGTTTTGGGAATACGAGGATTTTTCTTCCATTATTTATGTGTGCGAGCCCTGTTCGTTTCCCTCAAAGAAATGGAAGCCTGATTGATTTCCTAAATGTAAGAACGAGATTGTCCCGCAATAAATATTTAAGACTGACCAGGAAAGGCGACCACCATCTGCTGAAAAACAAGCCAGGAATTACTTTGTTAAAAGCTTTCCCGGCGAAGGGGATGAATGGATAACCCTCCTATATAATATTTGCTCAGCATCTGATGGTTTACAGAGGTTTTCACCTATCTTACTTGATCTTCACAATAGCCCCAGAGAGGGAGACAGGGCACGGATTACAAGGATGATTAAAGCCCCACGTCCCCCCCCCGCCTTTCTTAACAGATAAGGGGCTCTGAAGGCTTAAAGTCACTCACAGAGGTCAGTCAGTTTGGGGACTAAAACGCGGGGTTCTCTTTCATTCATACGCATATTTAATAAACATGGATCCGGAGCCCCTTGCCAGCCAGGTGCGACGGGCAGTGGGGACAAAGATGAATAAAACACGGGCCCTGCCGGGAGGAAGCCCGCGCCCTCGCCCCGGGGACCGAGCCGGTTGCATAAACAAGGGCCTGCTTGCAGGGTGACGAGTGTGCTCAAGGGAAAGGAACGGAGCGCCGACACGTTCTAATCTGATGTTCCTACCTAACGACCGGCCGGTTGTTATTCACAATGTGTTCTCCGAGCGGGGGGAGGGGGCTTCGCCGTGCGCCGGGAGGTCACATCGCTGCGGGATGGTGGCGGAATGAATGTGCAAATAATTTTCGGGGTGCGTCGCGAGGCACCCCGCCTCCCCGAAGGTCCCCCCCGCCACGTGCTAAGTCAGGTCGGCGACCCCTTCCCGCCTCGGCTGGGGCAAGGCGGGCCGCGAAGCTGGGGGTCGCGCGCGCGGCGTGCGGGGTCGCGAGGTGCGCGGGCGGGCGCCCCTTGTCTGCGCCCTCCGGCCCCGCGCGCTGCAGCCCCTTCCCCGCGCGGCTCTGCGGCGCTCGCTTCCTTCGCATTGATGCATTTTTCTAGTTCCCAAAGGTATTTTTGACGTTAATGCTGAGTTTCGCGAGGGACGCGTAGGAACGTCGTCCTTTAGAGGAGGGGGAATGGGGGGGGGCGTCCGGCCCGGGACCCCGCGGACGCCCCCGGAGGGCGGGGGGCAGGCTCGGCGCCGCTGCCCCGGGAGCCGGCCCGGCCTCGGCTTCCCGCCGCGCTCGGCACGCGGGGTGCGAAGTCGGGGCGACGCGGGGGCGGGCGCGAGGGCCCGCTGCTGGGGTCGGGGCGGCTGCCCGCGGGGCCACCCCTCTGCGGGGACCCCCGCCCCACGGCGCCCGGCTCGGCCTCGGCCCCGGGTCACACGTCCCGCGGGGTCGGGCCTCTCGGCATCCCGCGGAGCCCCTGTCCGAACAGCCTCCCGCCCCGGGCGCCCCCGGTCCCCCCTCCACCCCAGCCCTGCCGGCTGGAAAGCGGGGCCCGCGGGGGAGGCCGTCGGGGCGGCCTGGGGCGCCGGGCCAGGCCCAGCAGCGGCGCCCGGGCCCCCGCGCGCCGGGAATCGGCGTTCGGGGAGGGGGTGAGGGGCCGTCAGAGTTTCGGGGGAACTTTTCCACTTGAGCTTCCACGACCCTGCAGTGCCCCCTAGAGAAAGCGGCGGCCGGGGAGGGCGCGCGGCCCCCCACGACCCCCGCAGCCGCCAGCGGCGCGGCCCCGGGCGGCCTGGCAGCTCTGGCTTGGCTCTTTTTTTTTTTTTCCTCCTGGTTGTTTTCGGATACATTTTCTTTCTTTTTTTTTCAGAATTGAAAAAAAAGGAAGAGAAGAAAAGCGAGCCGAGCCGCCTGCAGTGGAGCGTGCTCGGCCTCCAGAGGCAGTCGTCTCCAACTTTTCCGCTCCCGCCCCAACTCCGCGCGCGCCTCAAACTTCGCCTGGGTTGGGGCCCAAATTTGCCTGCCGCTCGACTCCACTCTAACGGGCGCCAAGGCCCCTGGCGCCGCTCCGCGCGGGGGGCTGCGCCCCTGGGCCCCCGGCCCGCCCGCGGGCGCGCGCCCCGAGCCCCGGGTCCGCGCCCGGGCCGGGGACGGCGGGCGGCCCGAGCACCCCGGGGGAGGGCGGGGCGCTCCCGCGCCCCGGGGCTGGGGTGGGGCGGGGTGGGGCAGGGAGCTCCCGCGCCCGGAACGTTGCGAGCAAGCCTTGCGAACGTCGCAGGGGGGCACTCGCGAGGGACGGACAGGAAGAGGGCCAGGGGGGACGCCAGAACCCGGGACCACAGCGCGGAAACGGCCCGGGGCTGAGCTGCAGTCAGATCCGGGGATGGAGGGAGCCGGAGAAGAGGAGTGAGGAGGCCGGGGAGGCAGGCCCTGCTGCCCTCCTGGAGGCCGCCAGGCCGCTGTGGCAGTGGAGGACCGGGCCGCCCAGACAGGGAAGGGGTCAGGAGGCCGCGCCCGGGCCTCAGCAGGCCCAGACGAGGCCCAGAGGGAGCACCAGGCGCCCTGGAGTTCAGGGCCCAGGCCTTGGCTCGGCTTGTCCAAAGGAGGCCTTGGCCAGGCCTCTGGTGGGGACACTGAGTCACAGGCGGGCCTCAGGGCACGGCCTGGACGCGTGTGAGCCAAGTTAGGGGTAGGGGGCGCAGACCCTTGGGGAGGGGGTCTCCGAGACTAAGGGGGGCAGGGGGCTTCAGGGCCTCCCAGCCCACAGCCGGATTGGCGAGTGAGACGCTTGTAGATCCGAGGTTGGATTGGGGTGGGGTCTCTGGGACGTTGGCTAGCGCCGCAAGGATTGGGGGGATTTAAGTGCTTAGAGATCGAAGGCAGGCCTTGAGGAGTGGGAGTCAGACAATTGGAAAGCCTAGGTGCTTATTTGGGGAGGGGTCTCCGCGCTTGGGCGAAGCGCAGGGCTGCGCCCGGCTTGGCTCGAGGCCTTGCCCGGGCAGGGCTCTGTGAAGGGTGGGCCCGCCCCGGCCACGGGCCGCGAGCAAGAAAAGTGAACAAACCAGGAGTGCTAAGTGGGCGGGGGGCCCCTGAGAGGGGGGTCACAAAGGGTGAGACATGGCCACCAGGCGTTTAACCGACGCTTTCTTGTTGTTGCGGAATAATTCCATCCAAAACCGGCAGCTGTTAGCCGAGCAAGTGAGTAGTCACACCACCTCCAGCCCTCTGCATTCACGTAGCATTGCTGCGGTGAGTCTCCCGGCGGCCTCTCCGACACACGCACCGTGTGCACTGCGGCTCTGCCTGTCTGTCTGTCTCTTGTCTGTCTCTCTGTTTAAAAAAAAAAGAAAAAGAAGAAGCAATAAGACTTAAGAGTAATCGGAAGTGGAAGGTCTCTGGGCGAGGGGCCGGGGACACGTATAACCCTGGATGGGGAAGAAGAAAACAAATCAGTTTTAGGCCTCTGCTCCACCTCTGCCTTGCCCTCTCTCCTCACTTCCGCATCCCTCCTCTTCCCGCCCCCCCCTCCGCCCCCCTCCCGCCGTCACTGCCCGACAGGCCGCCTCCAATTTACATATGTTTTAACACGGAGATTTGGAAAAATTGGGGCCTTCCTGAAGCCTTGTTGTTTTTGTTTTGTGTTTAACCCCCCTCCCCCTCCCTCCCACTCCCCGGTACTGAGCCTCACTCTGGGTTGCAGGATCGCCCAGCCCCAAAGCTTTGCAAATGAACGACACCCTCCCCCAAAAGAGGAAGCAGTTGAGGGGGGTGTGTGTGCGTGTGTGTGTTGTTGTTTCACTCGTTTTCTCTTAATGGCCTGGCGGCCCTGTGTGGGGCCCTGTTCCCCAGGAATAATTGCTTCACTGTTTTTTCTGGGGGCTCCTGTTTGGGATGACTGTAAGGTGCTCGGTCTTTCGTTTTGCATTTCCCAGACAGGAAATTAAGCTGCTCCCTCCATTCGAACTTTTGGGGGGAAAAAAAAGAAAAAACCCATGGTCTGTGTGTGAAAATTAACCTTCAAAATAGCACATGTATTTTGACTTAATTAACCTGAACCTTTCTTTAGCCCAGCGGTAGAATCTTTTAGAGGGAGGGCCTAGGAAGACTGCTGAGGGGCTTTTTTTGTTTGTTTGTCTTTGGTGAGGTCTCCTTTACCTTTCTTTCTGAGCTTCAGTTTCTTGCTCTTTCTTTGCTCTGGTAAATCCGGCCCAGTCTGCATGGTCCCCGCACAGCGGTGATTAGCTCTGGAAGATCTTAAATTGAAAAGTGAAGAAAACTAGGAAACTAGTTTGTAGTGGGGGTGGGGGGCTCCTTGCTATGGACAGGCTAGGTTTGAAGAGAAGCAGCCTTAGAGGATGAAGGGAATAAAATCACCCCCAAGCCAGACTCTTCGGGATTATACTTGAAATCTACAGCGCTGGGGACCTCACACTTATTTCACCTCTTAGGGACTGTATTGCCTTTTAATTTTTTTCCTTTAGGACCTTACTAAATGCTTCAGAAAAATCATGCCATGTGTCTTGATGGCTGACAAAGACAGTTTTTCCTTTTTGTAACTCACAAGTGGGGAATGTCTTTGGCCATATTGCTCCTATAGGAAACCTATTTTAAGCCGTGTGAACGGTTTCAGGAATAAAATTGTGCAAATTCAGGTCAAAAAGCATACAAAACAGGGACGGAGTATGTTTAGATTTTTATTTACTTAAAAATTTGAAGTTGTTTTGCCTTTGTAAACTGAAAGAAACGGTATTGTACTAAAATAAGTGTGAACTGAAACGGCTAATTCCAGTGCCGGTTTTTTTGTTTTGTTTTGTTTTTTTTAAAGAACGCTCTGAAATAAGCCAAGAATTCGAGAGTAGAAATTGAATGAATAAAATTCCTCAGTGGAACTTTGGTTTTATCGAATAAGATATAAGCATTGCATATTGCATATTCCTCGAATGGCTTGATTTTATGCTACCTGATGGGGGTAAAAAAAAAAAACAACTAAAACTCGGGTTAATGTTTCTAAGGTATCGGTTTTTAATTTATTGAAACAATGTTTACTTTTAAATTTTTAATTGTATAAAGTTCAAAACGCCCTGAACTGTTGGTTAACATGAGACTTTTATTATCCTTATTATTAATCATTAAGTCAGACAGTCTAAAAACCTGATGTCTGAGCCGGGCAGCTTTTTAAAAGTGCATCTGTAAGCCAGACCGATTTTTAAGATGGTTTTGTAAGTTAGGCAATTAAAAAATAGATGTATAAGCGAAGTCGAATAGTTAAACATGGACAGCTGAAGTATATACAATTGGTAAAATTAGGTATGTCAAAGAAGGTATAGCTCTATTTAGCTAACTCGGGCAATTTCTGGAAAATAGATTTCCGAATCAAACTATACATATCTATGTCAGAACATAAGAAAAATATTTTCTGTATGTTTCACCATTTAAAATGTTACATACTGATATTTGTCTATTTGAAATTTTTCTCAGGTTACAAGCAGTCAGATCATTTAAAATATCCCTGTAGTCAATTCAGTCTCTCTAAAAAACAGAATTTGCAATTAAACAAAAATGGTTTGCTTAAGTTAGAATGGAAAAAAACCCCACACGTTAATATTTTTAATTGTGTGCATTGAAAAAACACATGGCATGTCAAATTTTTCTCAAGTATTTAGAGGTGAATTATTTCATCTTAAGTTTGCTGACAATTGATTTACCAGAAACTGTTCTACACACACACACACACACACAACGCACACACAAAATCCAATATGACAAGATGTTAACATGACTTAGTAGAGGGTATAATTCTTCCGACTTTTCTGGAAGTTGGAAAAGTGCTGTAAGCGTTTTGAGGGGAAAAGGCAGGTCTAGCACAATTTTTTAAAACTTCAGCCAATAACTTCTGCAGCATTTTTCACTGCAAATCTGGCTCCTAGGAAATTTAACACCTCATTTCTGAATTGCAAATTTCAAAACCATGTAGCAGAGCAAACAAAATCAAAGCTATTAAATTTAAATATGGACTGGGTTTTAGATGATATTAAGAAATTATTCTTTATTTCAGTTACTTTAATTAAATTCCTTAATTTTATTAGAGATACCTACTGAAATGTTCAGCAGTAAAATGTTAAAGTGCCACTTATTTTGTGTATTTAACCCCCCATAAATTAAACAAATAAGGCAAAGCATTACTGATTGTTAAATCCTACTGATGAACCTGTGAGGTGACAGTATACATACGTTTTACATGCTTTTCTGTATGAAACATTATAAATAAAAACTGAAAAGATATTTACAGGTCATATGAAAACCGTGAGCAAAATAAAAGGAGGCAATTTGTAAATATCGACTAAAACCCAGGTTAAAAACTAAATTCTAGAGTTTCACTTAATTAAAAAAAAAAATCATAACCCGAGATTTCTAGTTCCTAGTTAGAAGAAAAAGCTGCAGAAGTTAATTTCACTGTGTGTTTGTTACCTCACACACAAGCCAAAATAAAAAACCACATTGAACTGATAGTTTAGGGCAGAGGGTTTTGGGGGCTTTTTGTTTGGTTTCAAATTCTAAATCTGAATTTTCACATCCTTATTTAAGGAAAAGGCTGTGATTTTTTGACTTAATTATAAGGTTGTGTGCATGTGTGTATCTCACACACCTCAAAACACAGTACACCCAAAGCCATATCATTCAAGGAACTTAAACATGCATTTTTTTTTTTTTTTTTTTTTTTTTGCATCCTGCTTTGAGGGGAAAAAAACAAGTTAACACGGTGGCGACGGTGGGCTTGTCGTGTGCACCATAACCATGCCTGCTGAAACAGGTTGATCCAGCATTCAGGCAAATATGTCACAGCTAAGCAGGAATTTAAGGAGGATATGCAGCCACAGGCCAGCTGAGTCCCGAGGGCCAGCAGAGACCTAAAGGTCCTTGACCCGACATCCTGTCTGCGATAACCCTTATGCCTCCCTCCCTCGACCACGTTCGGTGGTGGCTGTAGAAAATTCCAGTTCCCTCTGGCACTGCCCAAACAGCCCTTGCCTGCATGAACCCCGAGTCTGTACCTTGTATCCTGTGGTCCTGGCTCTGGTGCTGGCCCTCAGGGTCTCTGACACGGGAGGCCTCTTCCTTCTTCTGCCTGATGACCCTGCAGCCTCCTCCCTGCCGAGAGCTTTCTCTAGCTCCGCAGCCCCGGCTAACACAGCCTGGTTAAGTTTCTTGCCTGTGAATGAAATCTGGTTTTTCTGTATGCTTTTTAAAGTTTAGCAGCCAGAGCTGAACAAAATTCTCCTTAATTGTGGTTTTGCTTGTATTGATGTTGGTAAAACTGATGGTTAGACACAGACGGGGGGGGGGTAATTTTTTTAATTTTTTATTTATTTTTTTATTTTTTTAGACTTGCAGCAAAATGCAGTTGTTGTCATTTGTCATTCATTGTGTTTGGGCCTCAGTCTTAGGTACCCCTGTTATAGCCGTGCCTCACGGCAGTGTGAAATAAAGGAAAGAGCACTGGACTCCGAGTCTGGGAATTTAGGGTTAAGTCCTCACTCTGTGGCTGACTCAGAATGTGTCTTTAGGCGAGCTCTTTGATCTCTTCCGACATCTTTTGCCTTATTTATAAAGTGAGAGGTTTGAGGTGGGTGATTTCTGAGGGCTGCATGGATTCAACATTGCCTCCTTGAGTTCTGGTCCAGCGTGTGGGTTCTCCAGACCAAGGCACACAGCCCTGGCAGCCCCTGGCTTCCATCTGAAAAGGAGGGAGAGTCAACAGCCTTGCTGTGCCTGCTAGGCCAGTGCTGTGCAGAAATCCTTGGAAGTGGCTCCAGTACTTTGCTGACACAACTTTGACATCGTATCAGCCAGGCGCAGGGTTTAAGGCACCACCTCATTCATGCAGTTACAGGCAGCTTGGCTTGAAGGGGCTGAAATGAATTTACAAAGGAAAATAATCATTCAAGAAAGTGTGTAAAGTCTTAAACGAATGAATGAAAAGTAGTGGTTGAGTTGCTGTTCTGATCTTGACGGGGTGCCGGGCGACGCCTTGGATCTGAAATGGCTCTGGCAGAGGGTTTGGAGCCAGTTTGTCCATGTTTACTGCCTGATCTGTCCTCTGCTTTAAAATAATGCGTAATCTATAAATGGAAGCTGGAGTTAATTGGTCTTAGATTAGCTTGAAACCAGCACATTATTTTTAATAAAACATGGTGTGCTTTAGGGGGAGAAAAGATACTAAGGATTAGCTGAGGTTATAAGAAACCTGAAGTCCTTCCATCTTGACCGTAACGGAAGCCGAGGTTTATTGAGAGCTTACTGTGTGCTCCGAGCACATGGGCACCTTCCATATGCAACCTCACTGAGCTCTGTCACACAGGTGCTGCTGTTTTTCTCACGTTACAGATACGGGAACTGAGGTTTGGAGGGGTTGGGGAGCTTGCCTGGTGTCCCCCACTTACAGAGCCAGGGACCTGGGACGGCCTCGGGCCAGCCTGGCCCCAGGGCCCTGTGCTAAGCCACTGGGCCCAGGAGTGTTGCTGCAGGCCCCAGGAAGATGGAAGGCCCTATTGTTTAAATCTGGTGGCTTTTTTCTTCCAGTGTAGGATAGCATCTCTCTGTGTCTCACTTTACAACCATACGCAGTCCATTTTTACTAGCATACAGAAGGTTCTAGTCCACACTAAGTCTGTTGGAAAATTAGTGCTCTCTCTTTAGACTCCAAGTATGAAATCACTGTATATTTCTCTTTAGATCTATTTGCTTTCCTGCCTCCAAAGATTCCCTTTGAGCAGTGAGGCTTACTTGAGAATAAGGGTACTTTGTTGGATAAAAGAGAAGCAAACTTTTATTTTGGCAGTAACGGAAATAAAGTAAATATCACTATAGCATAGACCTGTACTTCCAGCTCATTTTGCTCAACTTTTCCAGACTTCCTGAGTAAACACAGATGGGTTTCCACTTATTTTTCAGTTTTATGTAGAAAGTTCTTTAGATTATAAATTCCACATGCTACTTGGAGTTTTCAATATTTGCTTGGTTATATGCCATTGGCAGGTCAGAAACCTAGAGTTAGACATTATAAAGATTTAGAAGGTGATGATGTGTAGTAACGTGTGTTCGTCTGGCTGTATTTTGGTTTTTCCGCATGGTAATTCTAAATGTTTTAATTTGGATCTTGACTAAATTTTCTGGTAATTTGGTGGCAGGGGGAGTTTTGAAGTCCCTCTATTTTTAAGTAGCAAAATGGGGGGGGGGTAGGTGGGGACTCTTTGGCATGATGACCTCTGAATTTAATTCCCAGTCTGGTATGGTAGTAGCTGCCTATCGCTAGTAATTCCCTGAAGTGTTAATGACATTAGAGATGTGGGAAGGTCTGGTGGAAAGAGGCCTCAGCACCTGGGTCTGTCCTCTTGGAGCCATAATGCTCTGTGACTCTGGGAAGATGGATTTTATACGTTCTGAAGCTTAGTTTTCCTACTTACAACAAAAAGAGCCTTTATGTAGCCCGTGATTCTGCTTTCACCTCTTATCAACTAGGAATTGTAAAAACCGAAAGATCAGGGCGTGTGCTTGGTTAATAATCTAAGAAGACAGGCTCACGTGTGGCAGAGAGCTGACCCGAGGCAGCAGTACTTTGTTCGAAGACTCGATGCCAGGTACCTGCTGCAGAAAGGGGCAGATGTACAGACTGCAGCGCTGAAGTTAGGGGTTTCACCCTCTGTTGTATTCATAAAAGCATTTCAGTGCTGTCTTGATGAAAATGTTAAAGCTCTTAAAAAATAAAAACGTTGTCTTTTTTTTGTTCCTTCTTAAAGTAAAAGGTAATTAAATCAGATTGCCATTTGACACCATCTTCTCTATTAAAATTTTCTAGTACTACATTTAAGGCCGGGTGTGTATATAAATATAATTCTCTTTGTTCTCATGGCAAATTGTAGAAGGAATGAAGAGGACTTTCAGCTTTCTATAATGTCAGCTAATTGAATTTTTACATGAAGGAATACTGCTTGATTACACTTTTTATTACTGTCCTTGTTTAATAATATTTTGGGCCTGACAGACCAGTTTCATTTACAGTATTAATTTTTAAATAAGGAAGTTATGTTTTTTAATTTTCTGAATTTACTGCTGAACATTAAAAAACAAAACAAAACACAGTGGATTGTTGAAATTGACCACGAATTATTGCAGTGATCAATCCTGCAAAAAAGTAAAAATAAAGAAATAAGCAAATAAATGAAAAGACCTAGTTCTTCAAATTATCTATCATTGGTAAACATCTGTTCGGAAGAGAGAGTTCCGTGTTGATCTAAAAAAGAACCTCTAGTTTTAAATTGAAACCTCATCCTCTGCTGGTGCTTCTTCCTTCCTGCTCCCCCCTTAAGAAAATCTCTCCTCCTCTTTTTGTTTCGTTTACTTGCTTTTATAATAGCTTTACAAATAACTGTGTGCTTTCTGGACTAATAATAATAAATGGCCAGCAAATGGGAAGAGTTTTTCTTTTCTTGTACCACCTGTGTCTGTCTCCGGGGAAGAAGGGATTCTCGGCTAGCGTATTACCGCGGATAAAGCCGTGTCTGCGGGACTGAACATTGTAGGGACTTTACACGTGTGGTCGCTCCAGTATTATCCGAATACGGCCATCGACCATTTTTGTGGATTGTCCGTTTGCTAATTCTGCTGCATTTGCAGAGCTCATTTACATGCTAAAATATACACTTACTTGACCTGGTAAAACTGCATTTTAGCTTTGCTCTCAAATTATTGTACCTTCCTAAGGGAAATTTAGAATGTTGTATGTCGTGTTTGATATTTATGGAACAGATTAGCATTATATTGTTGTGAGACTGAAGCAAGAGTATTTTATTTGCTTTATGGCATTTTAATTTTTACAACTCTTTATTGTTTCCCATCTCATGCACCGAAACAACAGTCACAGTAAATAAAAGAATACATGTATATTGATGTACTTTTTTTTTTTTTTTTTTTTAAGGAACAGTCAAAAGGGGGAGATTTCTTAAATGCCTTGGTTAGTGGATCTTTATTTTTAGTCAACTTTAGAGCTGTTTAAGACCAAAGTGTTTTCTTGACTGACCATGCCTTATCTGTCTGTCCCCATCCTTCTTTCTTTTTTGCTATCCCTAACCGGATGGGACTGATGGGAACAACCTATCTCTTCAGGAGCTGGATGAGGTATTGTGTTTTCAATATTTTTGTATGTTAATAAAATTATGTCTGGTTTTTTTTTTTTTTTTGATGTCTTTGGTCATATACGGAATACCAACAGAGCTGATACACATTTTACTATTTATTCTGATTATTGATAATTGTTGTGTTTATCAATTTAATCTTCAGGATGTATTAACATATTTTCACACCAGATAAATTGGTGGTTTAGAGAAGGGTTTAAGGCACAATTATTTGCTACTCTTGGGAACGTGTCTCAACCTTAGAAATGGTAAAGGTTGAGCCTTTTCTTGAACTTAAAGAAAGCCAGATTGTTTTTAGGATTATGATGTGGGTAACTCCCTGCTTCCCGCGAAGCGTGCTGCCAGGTTGCTCAGGTAGAGCGTGGAGGACATGGTGGGTGGTGAGAGCCCGCAGGAAGCGGGACTCACAACCTGGGGGCCTGCTGGGGAGGCTTCACAGTCACTCTGTCGGGGGGAGGCCCCTGACCCCCCGTTTGTGCTCATCCTTGGAGGGTCCCCCTTTTTTGCCCCCTTCCCTTCCCGGCACAAGACTTACTAGCAATTCACGCACAAGATGGAAAGGGTGCGTATTCCTAGCACTTTATTCTAGAAGCGCTAATAAAGGGCAGAGGAAAAAAGGGATTGAACTGTGGCTGTCAGTTTGGTGTCTCTATTACCCATTTCTGCTGTGGAAGGATAAAAATGTTTTTCCTGAGGGCAGACCTTTTAAAAAGGACTGGAAAGGAGGTATTTTTTAGTTTTGTTTGTTTTAATTTAGCTATGACCCCCGAGGCAGGATTGGGGTGTCTGTCTTCAAAACCAGTGGAGCTCCTAACTAGTAGAATTAAGATCCATCCGGAAGTTCTGAAAACTTTTTTGACTAGTCAGTGATAGCAACAGATGGCAGACAACCTGCCGGATTGAGAGCTGGTTCGGCAAATCGGACAGCGTCTCGAGTCCCTGTGCCTCTCGAGGCGTGCAGTCCGTCCGTCTGTCCGGGAGGCTGCGGCAGCCTGAGCCCCCAGAGCCACCACTGAGCGGGAAGGGGCCCAATGCAACATCGTGTGGAAGCCGTGGTTCTCGCTCTTGGGGGTTTTGTTTTTGCGAAGAGTGACTCCCATTTACACTTGTGTGTACTTAGGAAATTTCTGAAGAGACAAACAGTCAACAGTGGATGCCTTCCAGGAAAAGCCTGGGATGGAAGAGAAACTTCCTTTCTTCCTTTCTGTTGCCTACCCTTTTCTTAGGCTGGGTGTCGGTTTTTAAAACACATGCATGGATTACTTCTGTCATTGAGAAACAATTCCTATTTGGAAGCAGGTACCCTGAGCGGGTAGCTCATTGATCCGGGTACCATGGCCTCCCTGCCAGCACCCGGCCCTGGAGGGCTAGCAGGTGACTGCGGCTCCCCCACAGTGGAATTCGGCATCTCTGGGGCACAGTGGACGGGATGCGCGTGGGTTTGCCGACCAGACTCTGCAAGGCACGGCGGCCTGGGGGCTAAGAGCCGAGGCCTTTTAGGATAGATGCACCCCTTCTTGAATAGTTTGGAAGTGTTCCGGCCCCCAAAAGGAAGTGTGTGATGGGGGGTAGATAACAAACCACAGAACAGCATGCGTCGAAGAAGCCCTGGCCGCCCTCCACGCGAGGAGCACGTCTAAGGTCGTGGTCCCCAGGGGTCTGCCCTGGGAGCCGTGTTCCAAGCTTTCCTGCTTCTTCAGAAACTGGCTACCCACAGCGGGGACAAGCGGGCCCTTGTGCTTTCCTTCTTGGCTTCTGGGGGCTTAAAGGGGGCCCCCACATCCTGTCACCAGAGACGCTGCCCAGACGGCCACTGAGCCACACCCGACTCTGGTGCTGTTGGGATTCTCTAGACCTGTCAGCCTGCGTTCTGGGTCCGCACGGCCACCTCGTCCTCGTGAGCACCTCACTTGGCCCTTCCTGTCCTTCATCCGGGACCACTGTGTCTTTTAAAATACATGTACATGACATGTATTTTATCTACTTCATTCACCGCACTTATTTGCTGACCCAGCTAATTATAACTGCATATTTGTTACCATTCAGTCCCAGGTGCTGAGTTAGGAGCTGGGGACAGTTGGGCACGGTGTCTAGAGCCCTGGTTCCCCACAGCTGCCACAGGGCTTGGAGTCAGTGTCTTCTGGGGACAGTGAGAGTGACCCCCCGGTTCTGGGCACGAGCTAGCTAGAAGCCCACCCCTCTGGAGTTGGGGCCTGCGCAGAATTCCTGTGTCCCTGGGGGTCTCCCAGAGTGAAGCCGTCTGGTAGTACCTTACAGCATGTCCACATCAGACTGGCATTCTCCTACGCGGATCCATGCGAAACTCTGTGCCTTGGGGATGCTGCTCTTCATCTTTCTCCAGAAGTAGCAAGTGGGGTGCCCCTCAGGAAGAAGCCCACCCACCGTTTACTTTCTTACCCAGAGAGTAACAGAGTGTCTGACCCTCTCCTTTGTTCCCTGCTCTCATTTACATCCCTTCCGGTAGCAACGCCATCTCCCAGCCTGTTGGGTTTTTAAAATTCATAATTGGACATAATAAAAATTACAAGATGTCAGTGTGAAGCTCTCCAAGCATATAGCCTGGGCAGGGCAGAATGATTTAGCAGGACATGGGGGTTGGGCCCAGGTTGGGCCCACTGGTCACCTGCTTGGAAAGTCTCTATCCGGGGCGGGGGTGCGGGCTTCATGTCCCTGTTTGTACAACAGGGGGCAGTCCTCTCCGAAAGCTTGTCACTGGGAGACAAAGATCAGGTCTGAGGCAGGATGACTCCCACGGCGCAGGCCATCACCTGTCCCCACTTCTCAGGGTGTGCACGGTAGCTGGGAGCAAAGGAGAATCAGGGATCCCAGCAGCATTTCTATCTGGGTGGTGTGATTCTCTGGCTTTTATTTCTCTACTTTTTGTACATTTTAAAAAAGTGTCTAGTTTGAACGTTTATTGTCTCATAACCAGAAAAATTAATCACTTTTTAAACTATCACAGGCTTAAAAAATACACACACTGCAGGGCTGACATGCCCTGTGCTTTTTCATCCACAGGCTTCCTCCCTCCCTCAGAGACCTGGGATTTCTGAGGCCTCACTGTCTGTTAGCACAGCCCCCAAGCCACCTGAGCCCAGCAAGTCAGGCTTGTGGTGTGACTGCATCATACACGCTGTTGGGTCATCTCACGTGCAAGTGAGAGTGGCCAGGCTATAATTTCAGTGTCCCTTCTGGACTTCATAAGTGATCATTGCCACAAAGAATCCAAAATTGTCAGTATTGTTTCTTGTTACCGATCCATTATGGCTGAACTTCCTTTATGTATTTATTTTTTTAGATATGGGGTTGAGGGGGAGGGTGTCCGACCGCGCATCTCTACAGAGGCTTGGCCGCGTCCTTAATCTTACAATACACGACATCAGCCTTGGAAAGGCAGGGTTGCCTTGGAGTAGAAAGGCTCTAGATTTGAGCAGCCAGATTGATAAGAAGAGTATGTGTGTGTCTGTGTCTGTGTGTGTGTGCAAGCGCTCGTTCGTGTGTGCATGTGCACGTGCGCGCTCCTTCCATAGATCAAAAACTGTGCTGTCTGGTGCTCTTTAAAGGGACAAGCGTCAATATCTAAAGTGGATCAAGGGCAAAGGATAACTGTAGTGAGGCCAGCAAGGGAGCCCTGTGGGTGTACAGTTTTGAACATCTGTTGCAATTTTTCTGCATTGATGACCCCAGGTCCAGGCAGTGCACCCCCAAATCAGAGACAAGAATTCAGGAATTCTAAGAATTTTTACTAATTTTTTTATTTAAAAAAAAGATTTTTTGTTCCTTCAGAAGCACGAGTGCACTTAAGAAACGCTTTATAGACCAGGATCATCATATATTCAGAGAGGGGACTAAGTTGCAATTCAGCAAGGAGAAGCAAGGAGAATTAAAACTCTGGCAGTTTTTTAAAAAGCCTGTATTGACTAAAAGGGCAACTTGAAAATGCATAGGATTGTCCTGGATCTTAAAAAAATAAGAAACTATGTTTTCAAATGTGAAGTGAGGTTGAAAGGGGGTGATTGTTTTGCAGGTAACAGATTTTGTTAATGTTCATATTTGTTTCTATTTCAAGTAATTGACATTTATCTTCAGTTATGTCCCCCCAGCTCAAAACATTTTTTTTTTCATTTTAACTTCATACTGATAAAATAAATAACACATTTCATCTGAGTACTGCTGAATTTCTTTATCATGATGAGCTATGGCCATAGACTATATGGTGAAGGGGACAATTTTTCCAAGATTTAAAGTTTGCAGTCCCAAAGACTGCCAAGACTCTGTCTTGTTGGTAAAATCTCGATTCAGCGTGGGGAAACCAGGGCCGGCGTTTTGAGCTGGACTTTGCCTTTTTCGCATAGGGCTCTCTTAATTAGCAGGCTTCCTCAGAGCATTGAAAGAGAATGTGTTTGCCTCAGTTTTAACTTCCACTCGGGGTGGGAGGGGACGACACAACTCTTGTGCAAAATCAGGTACTCCTAAAAAAACAAAAAACAGGTGGATCCACTTCAACTGACTTCACGTGTGATTGACAATTTCTCATTTGTTTCAGAGAAGTCAATACTGATTACTACGCAGGTAAATTTAGATAAATACCATCTTTATCTTTTTTAGTTTAATGTATTTTTATAAACAGTAAAAACAGTACACAAAAGATCATGAGCTTAAAAGCATAAATAAAATGAAGTATTACTCTATCGAAAATGATTTACTAATAAAATACAGTGGATTAGATAATAAGCTGGCATAGGTGAAATTCTGTGAGCCATGAAGAGGTACCTTAGCAGTTTGGGGGTTTGCTTTGTATCAACAGCTGGAGGTTTAAGTTCATGTTCTGCTCTAACAGACCCACAGCCCTGTGTCCTACACCTGCCGTGCAGCTGACAGACTCTGGGAGTCGGCTGCTGTGGTCTGTCCCTCCTGCCTCCATCAGTATGTCCCGCACAAGGTTGCATACCTCTCTGTGACTTTGGGGCGGGAGGTTGAGGACGAAACAGCCGGCTTCTCCCTGTCTGTTCTGCTCTGTGCAGGGTGAGGTCTGCACCCCATCGCTGCTCCCGCAGGTGTTCAGTGAGCAAGGCCACTTGATGTTGGGACTTCGGCGCTCCCTGGGACCCGGTCCTCTGTCCCCGGTGCAGCTCGGTGGGAAGGGATCTGGGGACCGTGTCTTGCCATGGTGTGTCAGGCTGCTGGCTCGCTGTCCTGACTTGTTTTCTCCGCGCGTTGCAGTGCATTTCACGGGCCTGCCGAGGTGATTGGCGGAGTAGAGGAGATGGGGCCTTTGGAGTCCTTGGACCCGGTTTTAGTCTGTCATATAATAGCTTTGTGACCTTGGGCAAGCTACTTGACTTTCCTGAGTTTCAGTTTCCTCCTTTATAGATTGGAATAGTAATTCCTAGCTCATCTAGTTTCTGTAAGGATTAAAACAATGAAAAGAATACAAGATTCCTATTAGTGAGCTCTTCAAGACAAACAGGGTGGCTGTGGCTGCAAATTAGCACTTGATGGACTCAGAGCCCCAGATAGTGCAGGCCGGATGACACACCATTTATCTGTGAGCTGAAATGACACTGGGGTCCTGTAGGGTCCACACAGTGACCTAACGCCGGCGACTTACGACTCACAGTTGCTCAGGGAGCCACCACGAGGGTTCTGGTGCCTTCGGTGCGGTCATTGCACGCGGTGTGATGGTGAACACACAGCATGCCCTAAGCCCACGGGGGTAGGGCCTGGCGGGGGCGGGTGCAAGATATGGTTGCTTTTAGGGATTTTTCTGTAAACGGTGGAGGATACAGGGCTTATGACTTGAGGCATTCTTCTAATGTAGGTTTTTGCTTATGTCATATTTTTCCCTTTATCTGTTGATTTTTCAATTCTATCTTGTTCTTTATTAGAAAAGCAAACAGGCATTTGCTGAATGAATGAAAACATGAATTTAGGTAAAATGCAAGGAAGAGGGAGGGGAAGAAAAGCAGCATGAATTCTCCACCCAATTCCGCAGCATGATTTAGAACATTTAGAAAGTATTACCTGTAAAAGACTTTTGTATACTGTTTTCCATTATTTTTCAATCATCATTTCCATCTTGGGAAACTGGCATTATAAATTCTGAACTCGGGAGGGCACCTCAGGATGCTCTCAACCCCATTCGTTCACCAGTGGCCTCCAGGCATGCAAGCAGCATAACTAAGCCAGACCCAACCTTTCTTCCCTGGGCTTTTGAAGGCAGTGTCTGAGACCTGAGAAAAGTCCAGAGCTCTGGGTATCATTTCAAAATAAGCGAAAACACTGCGTGTGGACCCTGAACTGAAGAATGGAAGCGACAGGCAGACTTGCATTGAGATTTTTAAGGATTGCTTTTGCCAAATGGTGGGTAATTTGCTGATCGTTTTCAGGCAGTTGTCTCATACATTTTAACACATGGTTAATGACCCTGTGACCAAGATAACTGGCTCAGTCCCGTTTCCGAAATAAGCTCAATGTGTTTAAGTAAACCGTGCTCCTGTTAAACACTCAGTGTGAGTTCCATTTGTAGCCGAGTATTTTTTTTTTTAACTTAAATCTGCTCACATTAACTGTTGAGGTTCGTGCCGTCCTGTCCGTACGTGGAACTGGTAATAAGAGGGGTTTCTGTTAAGGATCTTCTGTTGATTTTTTTTATTACGTTTCTGTAGCCAGATCAAGTCAAATTCATGTTCACAAGTATGTCCAAGAAAATTAAGAGCTGGTGCATGAAAAGATAGGAAAACAGTCCCAAATGCTAGCAGTACCAAAGCAAGCTTATGATACAGGCAAGTGCACTACTTACTCCTACGTTTCTCGGTCTTCTCAGGGAGCGACATTTAAAAGGGTGTGAGAGCGTGCTGATCAAAATGGAGCCTGAGTAACTTTTTTCATGTCCCTTTATTTCCCTGTAGCTTGCCGACGACCGTATGGCTCTGGTGTCGGGCATTAGCTTAGATCCAGAAGCTTCAATCGGTGTGACAAAGCGGTCACCTCCTAAATGGGTGGATGGAGTGGATGAAGTAAGTTGAACGTTAGTTTCACACGCTCTTTATTTTTTTAAGTAATTGTATGACATCGACACGTGCTAAGGTGCTTTTGCCGTAAGAAGTGGCGTGACGACACGTGAATGCACGTGCCTGGATAACCCCGCCTGCAGGTCACTCGCTTCACACCCCACGGAAAGGGTCCTTGAGCCACTGGGTCCAGCAGGAACCACCTGGGTTATAGAGAGAGACCCAAGTGGCACGTAACAAGGAGGGATTTGCATTTCGATAACTTGAATTAAAAGTTGCCCACACATCAGTGAGACAAGTTGGCTGAGTCCGGAACTATGTAGTCTAGAGTGTAGCCAATTGTCTCAGAGGCAGACCGGTGCCTGGCAGGCATCAGTGCAGTTCTGGTTGTTTCTTTTGCGTAGATACAGTACGACGTTGGCCGGATCAAACAGAAAATGAAGGAGTTAGCGAGCCTTCACGACCAGCACTTAAACAGACCCACCCTGGACGACAGCAGTGAGCAAGAGCACGCCATTGAAATCACCACCCAGGAGATCACTCAGGTGAGGGCGGGACTGGGCGCCCAGGCCGGAGTGGCCGTTTCCCAGCCCTCTCGGAGGCCACACGCGGTCCAGCCCTGCGTCAGATCGCGCCTCCCTTCCCCAGAGTTGCCCTTCCCCACCCAGAGCCCACCAGGGGGGCTCGAAGCCCCGGCCTCCCCCAGGTTATCAGCACATGTCTTAGAGGACTGGGAACCATCTCCTCAGTTGTCGGTAGATACCACCGCGACCTGATTTAAATTCACAGCATCACTGAGTTCAGTCACTTGATTTAAAGATGTAAAACTTCTGCATATTAGTGCTTAACACTTGTTCCTGTTCCAGAATGGTCCTTCTAGCTGGAAAAGATTAGGAGCTTGTTGCCCTAGGCTTGAATATATGAGTATCTTCAAGAAACTTAGCAGCCTAGAAAATTTTCTTGTAAAATGTTAAATTTGAGTAATTTTTAAAAATATTTGTATATTTTTGAAAGAAAGAGAGAGAGAGAGAGAGACCGAATGCAAGTGGAGGAGGGTCAGAGACAGAGAGGGAGACACGGAATCTGAAGCAGGTTCCAGGCTCCGAGTTGTCAGCACAGAGCCCGACGCTGGGCTCTAACTCAACGAACCGCGAGATCATGACCTGAGCCAGAGTCAGACGCTTAACCGACTGAGGCCCCCAGGCACCCCAAATTTGAGTGATTTTTAAATAATCTGAGCAGTGTGTAAAGCACGGTGTTCACACAGCTTCCTCGTTTAAATCTCCTGGAGCTGACCGTCAGCAAAGGGGCGCGTGCCATGGAGAAGCTCTGGGCGCTGGGGTGTTTGAGCCCCGGCTCTTCACGCGGTGTCGGCGCCATAGCCCCCATTTACTCCCTCTGCCTCCCCCGTTCTCATGGGTAAAGTGGGGCCAGTAACAGTGACAGCCCCTCGGGGTGGTGGCGGGGTCAGGGGAGAAGACCGTCGTCCTGAGCGGGCCGTGGCGCCGGGCCCAAAGGGTGTGCGCACGCTGCCCACGCCTGGCTCGGCCTTTGCGCGCGCACGCAGAGCCGCATGTAACTTGGACTGGGCCCCTCGCGTGACGCCGGCCAGTGTGGACAGGGCACCTCCTGGCGCTCATCTCCCTTCCCGCTCACCGGGAGCCGCGGCCCCTCTCCCAGCTCTTCCACAGGTGCCAGCGCGCCGTGCAGGCTCTGCCCGGCCGGGCCCGCGGCGCCCGCTCTGACCAGGAGGAGCGGCTCCTTCGCAACGTCGTGGCCTCCCTGGCCCAGGCCCTGCAGGAGCTGTCCGCCAGCTTCCGGCGCGCGCAGTCAGGCTACCTCAGACGTGAGTGTCCCCGGGCCTGCTGGACGGGGTCCCGGCTCGTGGAAGTTCCAGCACTAGGACCGCTTTTTGTCTCCATCCCTCCTCTTGGCTGCTGGTTCTCCATTTCGTCCTGAACCCTTCATCGTCACCCCCTGAGCGCATTCACAGCTTCTGCAGCAAAAGGGACCCCCCCGCCCCCCCGCCCACCCCCATGTGACCCCCGATGCCCGGACTGAGGCTGAGGACGGGGTATCGGAACAGTCACATGCAACAGAAACAAAGCTTCCTCTGTGCCAAGCTGGAAGAATGTGAATATCACTCTAGCATGGCGCTCCCCCAGCCCGTGGCCTCCCGGATGTGGGGCCGGAGGACGCTGCCCACATGTAGGTAAAATCAGTTGTCGTCACGTTGAAGCTTCGCGCTCGCGTAACAACTGAAGTATTGGAGTGCCTGTCCTGGCGCTAGGGATTCTGCCGGCCTGCCCCACCCCCTTGCTTCCTGAGCAGTGCGAGTCCGGTGTTAGCCACGTCCGCATTCGAATTACCTCTAAACTGAGTTTTTCTTTATTGCCACTGTAATCAATAATCCCCACGTACTCCAAAAAAAACACCTAGTTCCCCCTCCATCTGAAAACTGGCATATTTGTTTTTTAATTTCATTACTTCTAAAATTTGATTAGGGCCATTTGGAATTGTTACTGGAGATGTTTCTAGAGAGAAACATTGATTTTTTAAAAAAATGTTTTACAACAGCAGTTAAATGAAATATTTCTGCCTCACTTAGAGATTCTCAGACTGTCTCAGTGTCCTTTAGTCACTCACTTGGCATTGAGTGAATTATACACGTTTACAGCGTGGTTTTCATCTTGAATAACCCCAGATGCTCGCATAGTGTTTTACGTTTATAATCTTTACTCTCCTCCCACCTCTGTGGGAGATGGGCTTCTTTTAAAGCTGCTAAGAATGTCTCCATTTTGACTGTTGAGTTTCACTCTAGATTTCCCCTTTTTAATGGTGGAGCCGTAACCAGCATGGTTTACATATTCGAGTAAAGTGAATTCCTATCTGTGATAGGCATGAAGAATCGAGAGGAAAGATCCCAGCATTTTTTTGATACATCAGTACCACTGATGGACGATGGAGACGATAATACTCTTTACGACCGGGTACGTGAGGGGCCGCAGAACCGACTGCTGTGCGCGTGCGCTCCGCTCTGTCCCTTCTCCTAGACCGTCTGCTTGTGCGCGGTGCACATGGGTCAGCGCCACCTCGAGTAGCTTTTGCAGCAGGTAGAAGGAGTCCTGGGGGCCATACCTTTTCTTCCTTTGCAAAAGCTACAAGGAGACCTTGTAATCTGCCTTCCAGAACCTTCAGGAAAGCAGTCTGCCCACCCCACGGTGGGAGGAACCCAGAGAAGCGCAGGGTTAATCCCGCTGGCTTTGCTCCTGGGCCCCTGTGCAGCCACAGACAGGGGTTCGCCCCGTGCCCCCCGCTCGGGCCGGCTGTGCTTCAGATCCTGCAGCGTGTTTTAGGAATTTGGATCTTTCCTGCTAGGGCAAAATACGTGCTTGGGTTCTGTTTGCCTGCTTTGTGCAAGTGTTTTCACGTTGTGTTCTTTGAGTCGTGTCTGAGATCATACAGCATGCCTTTGTGGGGAACATACAAATCTGTACGTCTTGTTTCGCTAGGGTTTTACAGATGACCAGTTAGTGCTGGTGGAGCAGAACACGCTGATGGTGGAGGAGAGGGAGCGGGAGATAAGCCAGATCGTGCAGTCCATTTCTGACCTGAATGAGATCTTTAGGGACTTGGGAGCGATGATCGTGGAGCAGGTACGTGGTTTACCTTCCTCGGCATTGAGTCTTCCTGCTGTGACATTGGGTCCCTTTTCAGAGTTCTGATTCTGCGTTCCTGTCAGAACAGAGTTCGACCCTTCTCCCCCCCACGGATGTACGTGTGTGCGCGCGCGTGCGTGGATTACAGACGTGTGCTAATGTCACTTCCTATGAAGATATGAGAGCTTTTTTTTTTAAGTTAAAACAAATATCAGGAGAAGATCTCATATTCTCCGTCCGAACCCCCAGGATGCTCTGGGGACCAGCCCACCCTGGGGTCTGGTGCCCCCCACTCAGCAAGGGCTCTGGCAGGAGATAAGGTTTCCCCTCTGATTTTGGCCGGTTACTGTGCAGTGGCAATGGGAACCACTAGCTTTCAAGTAGAATTAAATTGTTTGTTCACTGTTACAATCTGATTAGGGTGTTTTATTATCTTGCCAGCAGGGATTTGGGTCCTGATCCCCCTGCGAGCAGCTGCAGGATGGAGTGTTGAGGCTGTGGAAGATCTGGTTACAATAATTACTCCCGTGGTTCCCGAGGAACTGCCCCTGCTATCTCTCCTGTGCACGTGGCCCATTAGGAGCCCTCTTCTTGCATAGAGCCTGGTGTTGCCTTCTTTCTCTTTGAACCGAGAGATTAAACCATTAAAACCAGAATCCTCCTTGAGGCAAAGGCGTAGTTTGACGAGGCCGATCAGAGCGAGCTGGCTGTCTTTGCTCTGAGCCACGGAAGCCCGTGCTGATGTTCGCAAACTCAGTCAGTTTCCAGGCCTCAGCCTCACTGGGCTTGGCTGAGCCCGCGTTCTCTGCTTGCTTGGAGCCAAGCACTGAAGCAGCGACAGGCACAGAAGCTAGCCCTTCGCCTCTCAGAGTCCATTTCCACCGACCCGTATGTTTTTTACAGCCCCAGTAAGTCTGACTAAGGCGTAGCTTATAGTGGCTAAATCCTAAAGAGAAACCTCCGTTCGTCAGTATTTCTGTCTCACGAGTTAAGCCTTGATTGTAACTAACACGGCACTCTACCACTGAGTGCCTGATACTGCTGGGTGATGGATTCCAGAGCTTTCCGCGTGCACCCTTACAACACAGTTCGGGAAAAGAGATAATCCTGTGGGTGACGATGTCTGCGTCGTGCACCCGTCCACTCTGAAGCTCTGTGTCTCCCGTGGCGGGTGTTGACGGTCCTGTAACTGGCATGTCTTCCTCAGGGCACAGTCCTGGATAGAATCGACTATAACGTTGAGCAGTCCTGCATCAAAACCGAAGACGGCCTGAAGCAGCTCCACAAGGTAATGCCGTGCGTTTCGGCGGCTGAGAACGTGAGGACCTGCTCTCAGGCCCCACGGCTTCCTAGGCGGGCCCTCCGCGTGGCAGTGTAAGAACGCGCTAGCGGCCTGTGCGGAGCCCACCCCAGGGGTCATTACCGGCGCCCTGCAGGCAGCGGGTCCAGGCTCACCTCTCCCTTGGGTTTGACGCTGCTGGGAACTCCCTCCCTTGACAGGAAATTATAAAGCAGTCGGGCTTTTCTTTCTGTCAGAAAGCATTTCGTTCTGCGGGTCTTCTTGCTTTAGGAGCTCAGGGGAACGGGCACTGGCTAGACACGTGCCGAACGTTCTGTTCGTTGGTGCCGGCTCGGGTCTCTCTCGTGGTGACACGCTTCTGACGACTTGCTGGCGGAGGGTCATTCTGGAGCAGACAGAAGTCTCGTTTTCCCTTCTCATCCCCACAGTGCACCTGTGTGCTCCCTTGAGAAAAAAGTAGTTTGTTGAGGTGAGAGCAGCTCTCTCATTCTTGCTAAGAAGGTAGCGCTTTCAGGAAGGTCTTTCATGATATTTGTTAAAAACAAATGGGAAGCGGCTTAGGAGCCTTGTCATCGGTGGCGACACAGGCGCAGACGCACGTGCAGCCGAGTGGGTCCCGTGTATAACCAGGAGCACGTTCGCCTGGGAAGGGAGGCGAATACCTCCCGAAGAAAATACTTTTCTGTCCGTTTCCTTGTATCTTTGAGACCCAGCGATAGTCGTAGCCACAGAACGAGCATTTTCCCAGTCTCCTAACGTACGCACTGTCGTTTTGCGGAAATGGCGGCCCTCTGGCCCGGACGACCCTGGCGGCGAGCAGTGTCAGGTGTACAGAAAGTGACAGTGGCCGAGATCCGACGAGAAGCCCTTCGTGGCCACTGCCGCAGCAGGCTGGGAGTGAGACTCCCAGCCCCTGGCAAGAACAAGAGGCCTTCCTCGGACAGGCAAAGGGCCCTACGCGGGTAGATTCCTTGTGCCGCCAGCCTGTGTACGAGAGCGACTGCTAACGAGTTCCCCGCTCTCTAACACCCAGTTTCTGATGTGCTGTCGTTAAAGTTTCCTAAATAAAAGCTAGTGAAACGTGTCCTGTAACACAACACAGACTGTGGGCAAAGCTTTCCCCACAGCAGTGCACAAATCCAGTGGGAACTAAAAATACGTGTAGGGTCTACGTTATAAATCATTTTGAGAGGTTTTAAAGTCTGTGGTGTGGCTTCGGCTTCCCCGGTGTTCCGGGGTCCTCGTCAGGAGAGTGAGCGAGTTCCGTCTTCTCGAGAGAGAGTCCCGTTCTGCCAGCAGCACGGCTGCCCGGCTCCCTGGCCGTCCCCTCCTCCAGGCACAATGGAGCCTTGGGATTGCGCAGAGCCCGGCCCTCAAGACGGGCCGACCTGTCTATGCCGCGGCTGCCTCCTGCTTGACGAGTGGCTCCCAGTGGGTAGGTCGGTCCACTTAGGAAACAAAACCAGCAGTCAGAAGCCCGATGGGGAACATGGAAGGGGGATGAGGGAAGAGATTGGGTCTTCTTAGCAGACATTTCCATCAAGCTGTTCCTCCTTGTCCTTCCCTGTGAAATCCCCTCCCCCCCCCCACCCCTGGGGAAGGGCAGGGCGTGCTCTCCCCGGACACCCTCCTTCTCCACCCTCCTTCCTCTGGGCCGGTCCCCAGGAACCCAGGTGGGCCACTTTTGCATTTGTGCACAGCACGGGCTGTGTGACTGATGGCGAGCCCCCCCCCCCGCCCCCGGGCCTCAGCAGGTGAGGCTCCCAAGAGGCTGCGGGGGGGGGGGGGGGGCTGGAACTGCCCGCCTCTTGTGCCAGCAGCACAGAGAGAGGGGCCCACGGGGGCTCCTCCTGCACTTGTCACCCACGGGTCACTCTCTCCCACTCCCATTTCAGAGGAAGAGTGTGGTCTTATTTCCAAATTCAGGGAAGTCACAAAACAACCCTCTGTGGGGCCGTCAGACTGACGGGGGTCGCCTTAGCCAGTCGTCTGACCTCGTGGTGAGGGCGCTGCGCGTCTGTCCAAGGGACTGTGTCCAGGAAGAGGAGGCTTTCATTGAAAGAGGGGTTCATCACAGGCAGTGGCAGCCAGCGGGGAGGCAGAGTCGCGGACCCTTCCTGCAGCCTCTGTCTCAGCAGTGGAGCCGGGGTCGGGCTCCAGGGCATTGGCCAGTCGTCTGACCTCGTGGTGAGGGCGCTGCGCGTCTGTCCAAGGGACTGTGTCCAGGAAGAGGAGGCTTTCATTGAAAGAGGGGTTCATCACAGGCAGTGGCAGCCAGCGGGGAGGCAGAGTCGCGGACCCTTCCTGCAGCCTCTGTCTCAGCAGTGGAGCCGGGGTCGGGCTCCGGGGCATTGGGGGGCGGGGGGGGGGGCTTTGGGATCAAGGAACTCATCCTCTCGTGGTGATTAAGATTGGAGGCGCCGGTTATGCCGACAGAGCCGTGAGCCCAGAACTGGAAGCAAGCGAGCTTGGTGTTCGGCCTTTTGGGAGAATGACAGCCTCTTTCCCTCCTCTTTCTGTAGGCAGAGCAGTATCAGAAGAAGAATCGGAAGATGCTTGTGATTTTAATATTATTTGTCATCATCATTATCCTCATTGTTGTCCTGATCGGCGTGAAGTCTCGCTAGGCGTCTGTGGGGCTGCGTGGGCCGCCCGCGTGGACTCCCAGGCGCCAGGGGCTCGGCCGCCCTGCGGGCACAGCGGAGGCACAGGCCGCGGACCGCGTGGGGGCAGCGAGAGCTTACCTGGACCCTCGTCGTCGCCGTCGTGCTCCAGCCGTGGGAACGAGCTGCTGCTTTTCCTTCATTGTCAAGAACTTACGGACCTTTGATAGCGCTGCAGAATAGAGATTGAGTTCTGTCATCGGTTATAATATATATTTTTTTTAGAAAGAGAAAATGAGTTGAATGTTTACAGGCTCTTCCCACGCTGTTCGATACTGTACGTGCGTCTGCTATTTTTTTAGCAGTCCTCTCTGAGCAGCATGTAAAAATAATTTTTGGAAACGTTTTTTAAAAACCATCTGGTTTTTAAGAAATTCGGTACCAAAAATTTATGAGTAGAGGCAAAAATGCCTTTTCATCTCTCTGTATATTTTCCAGTTGAAAACAAACTGAGAAGTCCTTTAAGAATTTATAATCCGTTCCCCATTAACTTAATTTAGCTTTTCCATCACTGTTAATGATCAGAGTAACAAAGTGTGAAAAATAAGAAACCATCATTGATGTTAATTAACACATTTAGATGGGCCAGTTAAAACAGCTTCATAAGTTTAAATTAATCGTAAATGGACTATTCCTCATTGCGAGTTCGTGCACTGCATTTTCTACTGTAAACCAAAAGGGGTTACTAACAGAACCACCTAAATTTAAAAGTTGGTCATTTGAACCAACCTCTCACATGGAAACACGAAAAAGGGAAGCTTGGCAGGGTCGTGAAAGTCACCAGAGTCAGCCAGTGTGCCCGGCCCCGGCCATCCTTGCTCTATCCGTCATTTCTACACCAACCACATAATGACCTGTTCAAACCAGACACCATTTAATGAACTGTGAATTTACACAGAGGCCATTCTAAATGGGTCACCCCATTTAGGATTAGTGGATCTCAAATTATTAACCAAACATCACTCCATTTCAAAGTAAAATATTCCACCAGGGGTATGATTTATCGGCTCTTCCATTGCTACTTAACATGCCCAGAAAGTAAGCACGTTCCTGCAGATTGTGCAAGTCTTGACTAGAAACTCGCTCACTTGTGTGAGCATGGACCAGATCGCCACCGTAGACTTTGCCATCCTCTTCCCTGTTATCACTATGGTGCTCGAATATACCCCTGCGACTGTGAGTTACGTGGGGAGTGGTGATGGCTTTGGAAGCTCACCGTGTTCATCTTCTATCCTGTCTTGAGACACCAGTACAGTTCTAATGGTCTTTGTGTAATTCTCGATGGCTTTTCCGTTTTTTACCTCTCCTAAAAAGTTTGAGAGGAGCATGACCTCATTAAATGTTTTGTTTGGATCGGCCACATGAAATATGTCTTTAGAATTGACTTTGAAGTTATTTCCAGAAACTTAAACACAAGTCCAGTAGTTCGGGTTGTCCGGGCAGATCACGGTCTTCACGCCCGCACCCATGCCCCAGCCTTCCCTTCTCAAGTTGTTTGCAAACTCCTGGCTGCCACTGGCCTCCCTGTGACCCATGCGGCTTTAACGACCCAAAGGGGCCCCTGGCATTTCAGGAAATCACCTGGTATTCCCAACAAACCATCATTTACTAGGAGAGAAGGTCAGGAAACAGGAATCCACCACCTTCCTGATCACCCCTGAAACGTGCGGCTCCCACGTTCTTGAGAATCGCTGTAGGCATTTTCCAGTCACAGCGGATTTTCATCCGGTGGCCGAGTCAAGATGTTCCCCTTGACCGGCTGCTCCTAGGAGCGGGGGCCGTTTCAGGTCAGGGGGCTTCCCGCCCCAGCGGTCGACAGTGTCAACAGGCTCAGTGGTCTTAACCTTGAAGGAAAGTGACCCTTTAAGAAAGGATCGCCAAAAAAAGAAGAAAAAAAGTATCACCGTTTATTTATATTTATTTTCAGTTAATAGGGTGATTCAGGTTGGGTTTTACCCACCGCCAACCCTTTGGGGTAAAATAACCGGATCTAACAGAAGTGGTTGTAGGTCTCAAGTGAGCCGAGAAAGCAGTGCAGTACCAGAGGGGGTCCCAGCTGTCCGCTGCCATCACCTTGTCCCTTGTCCCGAGGCCGGGAAGCGGTCCCGGGCGTGTGCTCCGCAAAACACTGTATTTTTCTTTTGAGCGTTTACTTAGGGAAAGATCAGCAGCCTTGGGGGATAGATCAGTCGTGGAGCCCAGGAACCTCAGGGTAATTCTTTGCTTCTGAAGGACACGGGCTCCTTTTCCCCCAGACGGCCATTGTCTGCGGGAAGGCCGAGCCATCCATCTCTGCTGGGCTCTGGTGGCAATGATCGCCAGCCCGGCCTCTCCCCTCGCCCAGGACACGACCGGGGAGGGAGGGCCCGAAGAGCACAGAAAGCGCCCTCTGGGCAGCCCTGGGCTCGGGCCCTGGACACCTGCCCCCTTGACCGTGTCCAGGGCCGGAGAGGAGATAAGCAAACATTTACCGTCAGGTCTGCAGAGCTCCTGATCTTTCCTGAGATTGTAACTGAAATCTACTGTCTCTCGTTGTATTAATTTGGGGGTGGGGGTGCCAGCTTCGCCATGGGCGTGAGGCAGTGTATGTCTCTAATTTAACGGATTTACCGCTTTCTCTGCTAATTGAGAGAGCATTATTTATTTGTTTTGACACGAGTGCTTTCAGTGTTTTATCCTAGCTAATGGCTTCTTAAAGGTAATAAAACCCTTCCAACCTAATTGGTCAGATAAGACTTTTTTCCTCGTGTGCTTAAATAAAGCAATTAGTGAAGCGCTTCTATCCAAAATGACTTTTTTTTTTTGTCCTTTTTTAAAACTAATTTACTGTTACTGGAAACTTTTTGTACAATAAAGCAATCATGCGGATTAAAGAGCATCCTGCAATCCTCGCATTAATTTTCATGATGGGGCCCGCGTCGTCCTCAGGTACGCCTGTTATGGAGGGCCTGGTCCGCTCTGGTCGTTTGAACCGAGGACTGTCTATTTTGTGTCGGAGGCCTTGCCTCGGTGTCCGAAAGTCCATCCGTCTGCCTGATGGGTACTCGCAGAGGGACCAGTCTGTCTGCCATCCAGTGTACAAAAGGCGAGCTGGATAATTATGTCTCTTATGAAAACGTATGCTTCGTATACAGACAAGAAGCGTTAGGAGACCTTCAAATAAAACTCAAGAACTCTGGTCATCACCCAAAATTTGAGCAACCTCCCGTTCTTCCCCATTCTCCCGTAACTGCAGCAGAATGGCTTGCCCAGCCCGGCTTACTTGGTAGGGTGCTGTGTTAACTCTAACATGCTAGCTTCATTTTCATCACCAGGCTCCCCTGTTCTAGTCAAAACCTGTGGGAACCAGATGGAAAGGCCCAGGTAATGTCTTCTCAGAAGAGACATTTGACAGGCGGGTGCAGGGAGGTCGGGATGGCGCCACCGCGGTGCTACTTCAGCCGGCTAGTTTAGCACGAGTTCCCGTGTCTTCTGAGATTCAGGTGGGCGCCCTCGGTTCACTTGCCGTCAGCTGCATTCGCAACCTAGCAGTGTGTGTACGTGTAAATGTGGCTTCAGATTGTGTGTGTGTGTGTGTGTGTGTGTGTGTGTGTGTGTGAGCCCTTAGAAACCCTGAATTTTCACTCCAGATGCCCTTGACCACCCAGCTGCCATGTCTAACCTTGTTGCATGATGTTTTTGTTTAGTGTTGTTTTGGAATTGAGGGAAATGATGGGCATTCGTTCAGGCGAACTAACGTGGACGCTGGGTGGGCTGGCGAGAGACTTCCAGCTCGTCTGAAAACCATCCAGACATAGGGCCCCAAATTGATCACTGGGCACCGGCTGTGTACTGCGTGTGTCTGGGCCCGGCTGCACGCCACCCTCAGCTTCCTTCTAGCAGACTCTGGTGCGGCCTTCTTACAACAGGAAAGGGCACTCCACAGAGTCAAATGGCAGAGACTCGTGCACAATTATCTGGTCAGTTGAAGCAAAAGAAAATAGTCATTTGTCCAATTGTCCAAATTAGCTCTCTGGACTGTCCTGAATGCTCAGGATAATTGTGTGGGCCTCCACTTCAGCTCCGTGCTCTGGCTAAGACAGACCATTTAAATGAGACGCCATTCGGTACAAGGTACATGTCAATTAGAGTTCGTGAAATTAGACCATAGGGTTTAGCGTTTTCTGTTTGTCAACTAGTCTCCTAAAGTTGTTTGTAGCTAATCATCCCAATTCCGCCACTAGTAATCACTGTTTCATTTTATAGATGTCATAGAGGCAGAAGGGGCCTTGGTTTCCGTCATGTGGTCTCGTGGAGAAAGTGCTGAGGGAATCACGTGGTTTTTTAACTTGGCATTCTGACTCAGGACCCCGTGACGGACCTCCGTTTTCATTGCCAGTTGGGCAGAGACCATCTTCCCCTCCTCTCCCAACCAGCCCCCCTTTCCCAGATGGGGAAACTGAGACCCCCGCAAGAGGGGCTCCCCAAGGTCACATGACTAGCCCAAGCCAGGGCTGGAGCTAGAACCTTCAGCGTTCCCGTCTCCAGACCAGGACCATTTCGGCTCCTGCCATTTGAATTGTTCATTTCTTTCCATGAAATTAAATGACCTTCTACGAGAAAGACTTAATGGTCAAGATGTGATGTGGTAAAGGCTTCCTCAAGGATTTTTTACCTTATTACAGAGATTAGACCAGACTGAGGCTAAGAGAGATTTGCAAACAGTGGCATCTCATTATCCCTAGTTCAGTTTTTCATGTAATTGGTGTGAAGAGATTACCGCTGATGAGTAAGCCTCTGCCGAACAGAAAATAATGATTCTTCTGTGACGTGACATGGTATACATACGTGTGTGTGTGTTTGGGGGTGTTTATGAAAGGTACACGTACACATAAAATGCTTACCAAGATGGATCGTGTCATTTTAAAGTTGTAAACGATAAGAAATAGGCTTGAGCAAAACTGATCTTACAATTGCCTGAGAATGTAACACTTCATTTCCGCACTATGCAATGGCTAGAAATTGATTTTTTTTTTTTAAATCCAATTAAGCCTCAAGGTTGGTTATCCATTTAAAAGGTCGGCTGAGTTAAACAATGACAGTACCTTCAGTTCATGCTAATAATTAAATTTACACAGAACTCGAGCGTTTTCCATCATGCCTCATGGAAGCAGACATCCTGTGTATTGCACAAAAATGTTCCGCGGAAGTCACCCCTCTCCCCTGCCCCACCCCGGTGCCTGCATGCCAGCCGAGCATGAACCCTGACCGGGTCAGTCCGCAGGCCCCCGGCCGCCATCCCTGTGGCTTCTTCCCTGGCATTCCCACAGAACACCGCGGAACGCCCTGATGCCCGCTCACCTCCCGTCTCCCCCTTCCTCCGGCCCCAGGGGTGTTGGGAGACTGCAGGTAACCTCGTTTAAAGAGAAAAAAGAGGGGGCTTCTGGCATGTGTACCCCTGGCGTACCCATGAAACTACTCTGTTTCACGTGCTGCCGAGTTTCTAACGTGACAAATAAATCACGTTTTAAAAATAGTACTTTGCGGTGCGTATTGACTCTTTGTTCCCAATGTGTTAAGGAAAAGACTTCAAAATGTCTCTTGATGGTACTCGTAGGTGATGTTTAAGTACTTGACCTTATGAAGGTGTTAGGCGAACCAGGAACCCGATTGGCACGCTTTTTACCCTGTTTGGGTTGTAACGTCACTCCCATTTTGTAAAGCACCGAGATGGGATATTTGATCTTGTGTCAAATCTTATTTCAAACCTAGCATTTTAACCTGCGTTGTAGTGTAAGGAAGGTCATGCCAATTCAGTACTTTCCGTCCGTAACTATGAACCAGGCTGAAAGATGGAACCTTCCAGATTTAGTGAGGAAAAAATATATATATATTGAATTTCCCTCTCAGGGCCCTGAAGAAAAACTAACAATTCCTGCTAAGTTTTCTGTCCCCCACCCCACCCCCACCTCACACCCCCCAGCTGCCCAAATCCTCAGCCACAGTCTGTGATCCTTTCTTACTTTTTCAAAGATCCACGTTCAGCCAATGCCTGTAGATGTGTTTCTTCACACAGGCGTGTCCCCGAGGAAAAAAACGCGGCTCAGGTTTTTGAAGATGGAATCATTTCTGATGCGCTAGAGAAACATGTCACTTTAAAGGACCCTGTAAGTGCAGGGTTTCCTGAAGAAAAGCTTTCTTGATCAAAATAAACATTTGCGCCCCCTCAGTGTGCTTTGCTGTACACCTTCCTTCCCATCTGCTATGTTGCTTCAAGGAAGGTGGAACGACACTCGGCCTCGTAATTACTTCTCAATTCCTTTCTGCACTCCCCCTCCCCGGGTCCCCGGTCTTCCACAGGCCCTTGCAAACTTTCGCGGGGACGGAACTAATTCTGTCAGTGTTCAGAAGTAAATAAGAATCTGGTCCCTGGGACAGGACGGTTATTACTAGCCCAACACAGCGGCCTCCCTGGGAGGGTAATTTAGGCTGCCCGAGCGCCAGGGACTGCCCAGAGCAGCCGGCCCAGACCCTCACTTTATCGAAAATTCCTAAAAACAGATGTTCGAAGGAACCCTTTTTGCTGTTAGTAAGTGGTTCCTCCGGTACATTTTTTTTGTAAAGATTTTTTTTTAATGTTTTATTTCTAGGAGAGAGAGAGAGAGAGACAGCGTGAGCAGGGGAGGGTCAGAGAGAGAGGGAGTCACAGACTGAAACAGGCTCCAGGCTCTGAGCCGGCAGTCAGCACAGAGCCCGACGCGGGGCTCGAACCCGCGAACAGTGAGATCATGACCCAAGCGAAAGTCGGACGCTTAACCGACTGAGCCACCCAGGCGCCCGATCCTCCGGTACATTTTTATTAACAATCTCTCATCCCACTGGTCACAGATCTTTAGGGGAGATCACAGAATGTGCTTTTTTGAGCAAAGTGCACGCGAGATGACACGTAGGATACTGTCTTGTGTGTCGAAATGTGAATATGTATAAACGTGCTTTTGGTTTTGTTTTTCCAAAAAGAAACAGGAAAGATAAACCAAAACCTGATAAAAGTGGTTGCCTCTGGGGGGATGAGTGGGAAAGGAGTAGAAGGTTCAGGGAGCATCTCTGAGCCTTCCTTCATGCAGTTGCAACTCCTGAGCCACATAAATGTTGTTCGTCTTCAGAAAATAAACTTTAAAAAATGAAAACAGCAAGCCGTTCAGTTCAATACAAACAGGCACAGGAATGTAGGAAGGAGATGGATGCGCCATACAGAAACCAAGGAAATGTCTAAGACACCGGCGGGGTGATGCTAAGAACAAAAAGAACTTTCCAACTTGAGGTACTGGGTTTGTTGTCATGAGTGCTATCGAACAAACACTCCAGTATCCACCGAAGGGTGAGTGGGGCCTCGGGTCCTCACTGTGGGAGAAGAAAGTACCAACATAGGGTGGGCACGTGAGGACAAGCCCAGTAACGTGGGCTTCGAATCAGAGGAATCCGTGTGAACCCATAATGTTAAAAAAAACCCAAATCCTCCTTCTGTCTCCCAAAAGAATCAGGAACAGTGACAGGAGAGGAGGAGCGGGCACGCTTCCCACGCAGCACTGGGTTTCCAGATGGAAATCGAAACGGCCATTCCCCCGACGTCAAGGAGACGGGGCTCCCGTGAGGCCCTGCAGACTCTTTGGTTTGGGGCGGGGAAGGAGCAGAGTGAGCCTGGGGACCATCTTCTCCTTCCAGGGAGGACAGAAGTCCTCAAAGACGGATGGTGACATGCGGAAAAGACACAGGGGAGGGGCACTGGGGGGCTCAGTTGGTTAAGCATCTGACTTCCGCTCAGGTCATGACCTCACAGCTTGTGAGTTCGAGCCCTGTGTCGGGCTCTGTGCTGACAGCTCAGAGCCTGGAGCCT